ACCAAGGTCGTCACGTTCATGAAGGGGTTAAGGGATGGGCCTGTGAAGACCTATATTTTCCGAGAGTACCCGAGTACTATCGAAGCTGCGATTACCCTCGCCATGCAAGAGGAGTGTAGCCTGAGACAGGATAAACTGCACACGAACGTGCCATGCCCGCCTCGGCCGGCTGCTAAGACGGAAGGTCCTGAACCAATGGATCTTTCGTATGCATCGGCTGTCGGACAGCACAAGAAAAAGGGAAGCAACGTGCGATGCTTCCGGTGCGGAAACATGGGTCACTACGCACGTAAGTGTACGGCACCAGTACACTCAAGCCAAGGTCGACGTGGCGATACTGAGTATCGTCACGGTCGAACAAACAACGCGACGGACCAGTAGGCGCGGGGCGCCCTACTGGTAATGGTAATGCAGTCACGCGTGTCTACAATGGACAGGCGGTATTGAGGACTGCAGCCCTCAGTGAGAGGGAATCGCACTGCAAAGTGCAAGATGACATGCCAAACCTTGTCATCTTGAAGGTGACGTCGATGACGAAGAGAGCGGACTCTCTTCGGGTGTTGGTAGACTCGGGCGCGTCGAACAACTTTGTTCGACAGCAATGGCTACCATTGTTGGACTTCGAGGAGAAGCATGTGCCTCGAAGTCAGTTGGAAGTACGATTGGCAACGGGTGCCATCGTGAAGATCGAGAAGCGCGTAATTCGTGCACGCTTCTCGCATAAACACCGGGTGTTTGTGGAAGTACTTCTCGTCCTGGACTTGGACGACAAGTTCGACATGGTGTTGGGCATGCCGTGGCTTGCACGGCATGATCCTATTATCGACTGGGAGAAGCGTACAGTCGTACGCTTCGGACGCCGCGGCGTAACAGAGAGCGATGGCCCTGTTAGCGCAGCGGATACACCTAACGGTGCATCCAAACCTTCTTCTGAGACAGTGGCTCGCGCCGCTGTCTCCAGTCGTTGCGCATGGAGCGCTTCGCAAAGGACCTGTACGATGGACGCATCGAACAGCTATGCATTCTTTCGGACCGCGAAAGAATGACAAGCGAAGCAGAGGAGTTGAGACAACTCTTCCTGATAGTGAAGATACTCTCAGTGCGGAGACGAAGAAGGAAAGCTTCGAGGAGCAGAGTTGGGACTCACTGAAGTCGAGTCCCTATTACGAGATTCTGCGAGAGCACAGAGATGTGCTCCCGGACAAGATCCCTGCGGAGCTTCCGTTGAACAAGGGAATACAACACGAGATTGATCTCGTGCCGGGGACGAAGTATTGCGTGGCCACTGCCGCGGGAGCAAGTGAAGGTGATCGACGACTTCTTCGAAAGTCGTCGCAAGGCAGAACAAGTGCGGGAATCGAAGTCCCTATCGTGCACCAACGCTCTGTGTCAAGAAGCCACAAGGTGGTTGGCGCATCGTTCATTTGTACAATAAGCTGGACGATTCGGCGATACCGGCACAGACGCCGATACCTCGAAAAGATGTTATCATCGATTCGATGTCCAAGAGCACCATCTACAGTGCTCTTGATCTGAGAGACGGGTTCTTCCCGATCCTTATGCGTGAGAGCGATATCCCTCTCACGGCGGTAATCACTCCAAGCAGTATGCTTTGGGAGTGGCTGGTTATGTCGCAAGGACTGAAGAACGCCCCTGCGACCTTCAATAGATGCGTCACGCATCGATTGCGCTCGGTGCGACTTCGCACCGAGCTACTTCGACGATGTGTACGTTCACAGCCCGGCTGTGAACGAGAAGACGGACGTCGAGATGCACAAGGAACATCTCCGAGAATTGCTTGGGCTCATGCGCAAGCACAAGCTCTATGCGAACCTGAAGAAGTGCATCTTCGGTGCGAGCGAGATACCCGTGCTAGGGTATCTCATAGGAAAGATTGGCGTACGCCCTGACCCCGAGAAGGTCAGAGCGATCAATGAATTGCCTACGCCATCCAACGTGAAGGAACTGCGGCAGTTTGTTGGCGTTGCATGTACTTGTGCAAGTACGTGGACAACTACGCATGCAAGATTCGCCCGCTATCGCAGCTTCTGAAGAAGGAAGCTGCGTGGGACGTACTTGTGCAAGTACGTGGACAACTACGCATGCAAGATTCGCCGCTATCGCAGCTTCTGAAGAAGGAAGCTGCGTGGGAATAGACTGCTGAGTGTCAGCAGGAGTTCGATGCAGTCAAGCTGGGCTTGACGGAAGCGCCGATCTTGGCAGTGGCTGACCAAGATCGGATTTTCACGTAGTGTGTGACGCATCCGATTTTGTGATTGGATGTGCGTTAATGCAACTCGATCACGAGGGTCGAGATCGAGTCGTCTACTACCAGTCGCGTCAGCTAAAGCCAGCTGAACGAAATTATCCAGTACATGACAAGGAACTCCTTGCCATGAAGTACGCACTCGCGAAGTTCCGAGTGTACTTACTCGGCAACACGCCGTTCGCGGTCTATACGGACCACGCATCGTAACGGACGGCTGTGAAGTCTCCGCACACCTCGCAACGAATGGCGAGATGGTTGTCCTTCTTCGCGGAGTACAACTTCCGGGTCGAGTACAAACCCAGAAGGTTGAATGTCGTCGCGGACGCGTTGTCGCGACGCCAGATTATGCTGTCAAGACAGTCGATGTCAACCGGATTGGCGTCGCTCGGACATATACACCGTCGCCGTCCTTGTTGGACGAGGTGAAGGCCGCGTATGCGCATGACACAGACGCGAAGCAGCTGATTGAGTTTCTCTCAGCTCCTTCCGACAAAGCACGTCGGAAGTTGGCCCCTCGTCTACGAGCGGGTGCACATCGGTATAGTGTGCACGCCGGTCTACTGTTTTACAGCGCTGTAGACGGCAATGCGGACCGCATTGTCGTGCCGAATGCTCCTGACCTTCGCAACAGGATCATGTACGAGTATCATGATGTCCCAACGTGAGGACATCCGGGACGTGAGAAGATGTACTCTCTTCTCACGAGGGACTTCTACTGGAACCACCAGTACAAGTGGGTGCGCAAGTACGTACGTACTTGCGATGTTTGCCAGCGAGTGAAGCCTGCGCCTCACTCGCAGGCTCCTCTGCAACCACTGCCGACTCCGTCGGAGTTTCGATGGACTTCGTGTTTGGTCTTCCGCGCGATTCCAGGCGGAAGACTGGTATTGTGGTCTTTGTGGACCGCTTCAGCAAGATGGTGCATCTCGCTGCTGTCGCAGCGGAAGTGACCTCCGTACAGACGGCACGTCTGTTCGCCGACATGGTGTTCAAGCACCATGGCATGCCTAACGACTTTGTGTCGGACCGCGACCCGCGCTTCACGGCGCTTTTCTGGCAAGAAATGCTCACACTTCTTGGAACGCAGTTCTCCATGTCGACTGCGGGCCATCCGCAGACGGACGGGCAAACCGAGCGCGTGAACCGCGTGCTCGTGGACTTGCTGAAGAGCGATTACTTGCCGATGGCCGAGTTCGCCATCAACAACGCGGTGCATGCCTCAACAGGGCATACACCGTTCTTCGTGAACGCCATGCGGCATCCACGCCTTCCAAGCACGCTCGGGGCGGTGGCTTCCTCCTTAAGTGGGGGAGGATCTACGGTTGCGTCCAAACAACCGCAGAAGACAGCTGATACGGATCTATCAGCTGCGACGACACGTGCAGAGCCCTCACACGACAAGGCGACGTGTCAGTACCGGGCACTGACACTGTGAAGAACAACGAGCAGGCGACACCTGCTTCGTCGAAGGACAACGTGTCTGTGCGGGGCACAGACACCGAGAAGACTCACGCACAAGCCGGCCCTGTTGCACGCACAAGTGATGTATCGATGCCGGGCATCGATACTGAGAAGCTTCACGCACAGGCTGGGCCTGCTGCAATCACACACGAAATGTCAGTGCCGGGCACTGGCACCACAAAGAGCCACGCACAGTCTGGGACTGATGTGAACACAAGTGGCGGGTATGTGCAGGGCATAGACGCGGACAAGGTCAATGATCTGGACCCGGGGTTCAGCTCTCAAGCAATGGACTTTGACCAGGAACGACAAGCAGTCGTTCGATTTGTACAAGATGCAATTGCAGTTTCTGCGGATAGGCAGAAGCTGAACGCAGACAATGTGGGCAGGGGCATCACAAATGAATTCGAAGTTGGTTCATTGTTTTGTTAGCTACTCCAAACCTGCCTACACATGCAGTTTCCGGATTCGGAGCAAGCAAGCTTGCTCCGCGCTTCATCGGCTTGTTCACGGTAGCTGAACGACATGGCAGTGCATACACGTTGGAACTACCTTCCGACATGAGACTCCACCCAACGTTCTATGTTGGGCGCTTGAAGCCCTACGTGCAGCCCGAGTCATCTAGTCGTGATGACTCGCCGACGACGACGCGCGGCGCGACTTCAGCTTTTAGTCAAGCTTCTTCACCTTCTCCCGAAGAAGGCGAACTTGTTCCGACATCTCAACACGGATATTTGAGGTGGTCTGAGCGGCTTCGGCCACGTAAGCCTTCTGTACGTTCAGCTGCTGCTTCAGCTCAGCGATCTGAGCAGCCTGAACGCTCTCAAGAGCCTCCACGCGAGCGTGAAGCGACTGAAGACTACGTTCAACCTGGGGTTGACCATATGATGAGCGTCTACCACCGCCGACAGAAGCATAACACTGTCCGCGGTACGATCCACCGCGAGGTTGATCGGATTGTAGACCATACCAGTCCGAAGCCGAACCGAGGGCCGGTTCGTTTTCGTATTCGTTGGAGACAATCGGGTCTCCTTCGAGATACGTGGTTTCCCCAAAACGTCCTGACGACGGACGTTCCGGAAATGGTGAGGGCGTAAGAAGCCCACCATGGACTGGAGGCGTAACACTGCGGGGCGCAGCGTTTCGCGGAGTGTTGTACTCAGGCACAACACTATGATACTGACACGTGCAAGCGAGTTTAGCACGTAGCTCCTTAACGTTTGCAGGTACACGGTTAGTCGTGTACCCTGTAAGGTCTCTCGCTGATGCGGGGAGCACCAGGAGGACAGTGCGGGCAATGAATGCCCACAGACACTGCACAAGGAATACTCGCGTTCACCGAACCTTCGTGAACGCGTTTTACGACAGAAGTAACGGAGTACTTCATGAAGCGCTCACGAGCTGAAGCAATTCGATCGCGATAAGCTGTCGAGTCTTTGTTGAAGTTTCAACAAATTGATTCCAACTTTGACAGAGGGCACTCTGCTTCATCCCGAAGTCTTCTTCGAGCTCCAGTACCGGTGTGGTGGAGCGGGATCAGCAAAATCTGCGAAGATGCTGGATCCGACTTACCACTGTGCCCAGGACACCGACTAAAGGAGGGGGTACTCCTATGATCCGTGATTCCTCACCTTGTGTACCCGTCGGTAGGGCTGGATCTGCTCCTCCGGTAACTGCAGGAGTTTGTCCAAGTGGATGAAGATCGGGCGTCTTGGCGGGACGCAGGGATGTGATCAGCAGCG